AAATGGCCCACAAAGCCATGAGAATATTCGCCATATCCGTCAGTAGGGAAATGCAAATCAAATCACAATGAAATGCTATTGTCCTATCACGAGGATGGAAAGTGACAAGTTTGGGAGCAGTTGTCGAGAAATCGTTGCTCTCGTGCAGGTAGGACAGTCATAGTGTATACAATGTGGTAAAGTAAGGCAGTTCCTCAAAATGGTAAGCAGAGTCATCGGAGGACCCAGAACTTCTACTCCTGCTATAGACCTTGAACACTTGAGAGCAGGTACTTATACTGACATGACAGATCGAGACTACTCACTGCAGCGTTATTGCAAAATAGCCCCAAAGCAGAAACAGTCCAAGTGGTCAACAAAATGAATGAGGAAATAAAGTGTGGTATATACAAACAAGAGAGTGGTATCCATCCATAAAGAGAAATGAAGTTCAGATTCATGCCAAGATAAGGATGAACCTGGAAAGCCTTATGCTTTGTGAAATGTCAGATACAAAAGGTCAAATATGGTATGATCCTACTTATTTAAAATCTCTATAACAGACAAATACATCAAGGCAAAAGCATATCCATTTTGGAAATGGATAATGGCAATGTGTAAACAACATGGTGAATGTAATTAATTTTCACTGAATTTTCAATGGCATACTTCAATGGCAGTTTTGTTATATATATTTAGCAGTTGACATATTGAAAGATAATATTCATCTCTAATAAGGCCACTGATACTTATAAAACATGTGATGTACATAATATTCAAGGTTTAACACATTTTGCATTGCAGTGGTAAACCTGTTCACTTACCTTACAACATTTCTCATCAGGAGATTAAAAGCATCTTTTGCTGACTTGCAAAAATTTTTGCCATATATTGCAATCTGAAGAAAAGAGTTAACATAGTTAACATTATTCTTGGTCCAGTGCTATATTTTAACATGGCAAAAGGACAATTCAAATTAGAGGAAAACAATCCAATTGGCAATCTGCCATTTACACAGTTACCCTTTGTCTTTCTACCTTTTGAGATTATGGCAGTCCTGTGCATCTGGGACTCTCAAGGTTGGTGACAACACGACATGCCTTAGATTTTCTGTCAGCCATCCAGCCAATTCTGACTCACAGTGACTCTATAGGGCATAGGAGATCTGCCCCTTCGGGTTTCTGATTCTGTCAATCTTTACAGGAGAAGAAAGCGTCATCTGTCCTCCCCCGATTAGCTGGTGGGTGGAAGCTGCTGCCATTGAGGCCAAGACTCAGCGCATCCTCCACTACACAAGCAGGGCTCCTTGTTTAGAAGCTAGCTGGCCATTAGCCCCATGGGAATCAGACAGCCTAGATGGCAGGTATTTTTCTCAAATCCCAGGCAATGGGTATGTCTTTGGGATGTCTTCGTTAGGGTTTCTTGGTGACTAGGCTGTATGTTTTAGTTGCCAGGTTAAAAATCACTCTTAGGGAGTACAATGTTTTTCATCATACTTGGTGTACTGATTACATAACCAAAACAAAACCCCAAACCCAACACACTTCCAGCAAGTGGACTCCCGTTTGTAGTCGCCCTGTGGAGGTGTCTAACAAATCCTTCTCAGAGCAGATAGCCTCATTTTACCCCAGTAGGGTTGCTGGGGGGTTTGAACCCACTCAACATCTAACCCACAACAACAGCAGTGATTCTTGACGGATTACAAGCACGCAATAAAGTACTCTCTCTGGAGGTAAATTAATGACTATATGAATCGATGGGCTAAATACCTTTCCTGTGACAATGAACAAGTGTCCCAGAGACCACAGATACTAAATTTAGAAGAATGACATTTCTGGATCCTTTACTAATAAAAATGTCTAGTTAGAAGCCTTCATAGTCTCATGTGAAATATCCAGTCTAGAATTGTCAATTCTTATGCTTTTTAGCACAAGATTCATAAAAAAGGATCAGACTGTTTCTGAACAACACATAAACCCTAGAGTTGGAAAGATATTTTCCCACAGAGTGGAATATAGACTAAAATAATGTTCACTGTAGCATATTAAAAATTTTTTAATTTCTAATATAAATATGTTTCCTCTCCAGAAACACATTGATGGCAAAAATGAAACAGTTATTATTGATTCCCTTAACTGGGAAAGCATAACCCAAGAATTATAATCACATGATGTCTAATTGTCTTAAGGTTTAGCAAAGTAACATGGGGTCAGGTTTGCAAAGAAGTTTTAGTAAAACTAAAAACGACAAAGAAACTTACCATGATATAGGCATTTTTGTTTAAAAACTTGACCATTTTTTCCAAACACCAGAAACAGCATCTCAGGCAGCATTGTAGGAATTTAGAGATATTGTTCTGGGCAGCTATTAGAAGGAGATATTTGAATCTATTAGTAATTTGCAACTTAACCCTGTGGGTTAAATATAATAATAACATTTTAAGGGGCGCTCTCAACAAAGTGCCTGTGTTTGTAAACTGTGTCAGCTATGAAAGTTCATGCCATTGGCGCCCACATGTACATTTCAAGCCCAACTTGCTCAGGGCTCTAGCCCAGGTCCACCAATGCTTCCCAACATTACTGGGCCCAAAATAGAATTCTGAATCTTCTTTCAAAGTTGCTTCTCTTGACTTCCATATTTCAATAAATAGCAGCACACACTTTATTGTATTCTCTTTCACTCACCACTGTTCTCCCTCCCCTTGATCTCCTACTTCCTCAGCAAGGACTGGCTTAGCCTTCCACTGAAACCAGATCTGACTGCCTCTCCCTACTGTAGTTCATGCTGCAGCCTCAGGCACTTTCACCTGGTGCTCCAGTCCGCTCTCGACACAGAGGTTAGAAAGGAGAAGACAAGACAAATTCGGGAATCTTACTTCTAGCACGGCGGTCCACATATTCAAGGACAATTCTAAACATTTGAATTGATGCAAGAAGTAAAGATCCGAATGCTAGGGAACCCGTGTGATATCTGGGCAAAGAGAACACAAGGGTGAATGTTAGACCATCTCTATTGGTATCAACTAAAAGGACAGTACTTAAAATGATCCTAGCAAAGACCAGAGGAGGTACACTGGTACAGATAGGAACTGAAAATACAGGGAATCCAGGACGGATGAGCCCTATAGGACCAGTGGTGTGAGTGGCGAAACAGGGAGGGTAAAGGGAGAATGGGTAGGAAAGAGGGAACCGATTACTAGGAACTATATGTGACCTCCTCCCTGGGGGACAGACAACCGAAAAGTGGATGAAGGGAGACGTCGGACAGGGCAAGATATGACAAAATACCCATTTATAAACTATCAAGGGCTCATGAGGGAGGGGGGAGCGGGGAGGGAGGGGAAAAATGAGGACCTAATGTCGGGGGTTTCAATGGAGAGAAAATGTTTTGAGAATGATGTACAAATGCGCTTTACACAATTGATGTGTGTATGGATTGGGATAACAGTTGTATGAGCCCCTAATAAAATGTTAAAAAAAAAAATGATGCTAGCAAAGAGCTCTTGGCAATCTTCTATTTAAACTTGATAAAAGTCTCCAGGAGAGGATTTTAAGCCTTGCGGATTTGTCCTGCTTTTCATCAGGAAAAATGATACCAGTGGCTTAGCACCATCAATGAGGTAAGGAACAGAGAACACAGTCAAATGAACTTTTCGTCTTTAGTTTGGTCACATCTTCAGGGACCTGTGGACTTTAGGAGGATATTGTATTACAGGCACAAAAAAGGCAGCAGGGAAGGTGGGTGTAGGGTTCCCCAGGGAGCTTACCGTATGGCCCGTCCAAATGCAGTAAAGAGTGGAAATGGTGGTATGTCCTCAGGTTTTTTTGTGGCCCAGTAATAAGTAGCGAAGGCACCAGCAAGGGTACACTGACCCAATGCAAGGACAAAGTTTATAAGCCAGAGAAAGGCAAAGAGATTGTATATCTGAAAGACGGTGATGTATTGATGAAGCAGGCTCTTTCCACCATAGAAAGCAAAGTTACACATAGCACCCGGGCAAATTTTGGAAATGTCAGTGGTATTAAAAGTCTGTACTCAGAAAAGTAAAATAACAAAACACAGAGAATATAATATTAGAGGCCACTACAAAATAACATCTCTTATCTTGTTCCCCCCAAAAGCATGTCCTAGCCTTTCACCATGAGCCCTCGTAGTGTAGTAGTTATGCACTGAGCCACAAGGTCAGCAGTTCTAAACCACTAGCCATTCTGAGGGAGAAAGATGAGGCTTTCTACTTTCATAAAGAGTTACAGTCTCAGAAAGAAACTGGGGCATTTCTACTTTGTCCCATAGGTCGCTATAAATCAGCATAAACTCGGCTGGCAGTGGGTGATCCTTTCTCTATTATCTTTTGCTATTACATCTCTATTTTCAATCATACAATTTAATACAATTCTTTAAAGGAGACCTATGTCTACAATTCTTTAAGGAGTTCTATACAGTAGTTTATTTTCCATTATAAACTCATTCGGTACCCACTACATAATTTCGCATTCACAGCGTTGACCAGGAATGCTTCTTGGATGTATGATAGGGCGATAAGATCTAAGGAAATTATTACTGTGCTTTCCCTCCATTATGTCTGCTGCTTTAGTGCTTTCCTGGTCCCACCTAACCACCCCTTTCCTGCTGATCAATGATGATCATCAGTGCACAGAATCTGTTCCAGGAGTCCTACAATGACTGTAAGATAGAATGTAGTCATGCTCCATAGTGGAATAGAAAAGGGAGAGAATTTCTCTTACTTACCTGTGGGTCACAGGTTTTATTTTCATGTATACATTGGCCCCCAGGAGTCATGACTTTATATATAGGTACCCCTGATGTAGCCAAAAAACTGAATGAATTTGATTAAGGATAAATGATTTACCCTTAGATTGAGAACAAATGAACAGACAAGAGAAGATTGCAGATAATTCAAAAGTCCATAGAGATATTAACTTTAAAAATAGATGTTATTGTATAATATTATAAATCCTCATCCATTTTTTTTCAGGTAAAGAATAGTATAGCATGGACCAACTATACTAATAGCCCATTAAACACAATAAAATATTTAGGAGTTGTGTTATGGTCAAGGAAAATTACCAATGTGAACACAAAACAAAATCGACCATATGACTATTGCAGGAAAAAAATCCACTCAGTAGGCTGGTACTTTTTTAGAACTTGGCCAAAAAAATAATAAAATAAAAAATGAGGTTACCTCTTTAAGATGTTTTCAGTCATCCCAAAGATGGGGAAAGAATACAACCGTGGACACAAATTCATGGCTCTAGAAGAATGTGGCCTGAGGTTGAAAGCACCTAATTAATTACAGTACCAAAGGATACACTGCTGTCACAGCCCAGTAGGAAATGCAGATTGCGATCAGAATGAAAGTTAAAACCGGGTAAATTAATGTGCTGGGGATGCATCCAACAGCTCTGAAATAAAACAAAGAGTTGAAACTCAAAATGATTCAGAATTATAGTTTTCCCAATTTAATTGTTTCTGTAACAACTGAAAGTAAACCTTGAACTGCATTTGTTCTAAAAACAATGTTAACAACCATTGAATCCTCCTACCCCCATCATTCTGGCGTGTTAATATTTCTCTTATTATTTATTCTATTTCCAATGTTCATGGATAATTTCTACCACAAATTTCCCAAACTCTCTCCTCTTTGGTTATTTCTGCCTTATCCATAAAGCTTTTATACACTGTAGTCATGAGACTTCTTTTCGCCATTTGTTTAGATCAGTGAATCTCAACCTTCCTAATGCTGCGACCCACAGTTTCTCATGTTGTGGTGACCCCCAACCTTAAACTTATTTTTGTTGCTACTTCATAACTGTAATTTTGCTATTGTTATGAATTGGGCGACCCCTGTGATAGGGTCGTTCGAACCCCAAAGGGGTCGTGACCCACAGGTTGAGAACCACCGCTGGTTTTGATTCGTAGCCTTATACTCACTCAGCTCACTGTCATCTTGTTGATGCTGACTCATAGTGACCCTCCGGAACAGAGCAGAGCTGCCCCTGTGAATTTCCTAGATTGTGATCTTCGTTGAAGTAGAAAGCCTTGTCTTTCTCCCACAGAATGGCTGGTGGTTTCGAACTGCAGTCTGCGCAGTCACCAGCCCCACGTGTAACCACTACCCCACCAGAGCTCCTCTTAGATGCAAAAAATAGTAGAATTGGAAAAGACATTGAAAATCATCGGTTCTAATTCAGAAGTCCATTCTGTACTATCTTTGACATGTGTTCACTAGCATCTGGTGAGGAGCCCAGTGGGGTGCTAGCTGAAAGGTCCATGGTTTGAACCTACCAGTGCTCCACAGGAGAAAGATCATGCAGTCTGATTCCTTAAAGACTTAGGGACTTGGGAGTCCCACCAAGCAGTTCAACCGTGTCCTAAAACAAAACTGTTCACTTAAGTTTGTCACACTGTAAGTCAAAATCAATTTAATGAGTAGGTTGGTGAGTGGGCCTCTTGTGACTACGTTGACTGATAGGACTTCTTTTTACATGGCCTACTTTATTCTATGTTCTTAACAATCTAATTATTAGAATGGCTTTCTCTGTCTGTTTCCCTTTAACTCATAGCCAAAGCCTTCTAAGGAATAAATGACTATTTTATCACATTTTCCATGTGGCTACCCTTCAAATTATTCCTTATTCTTTTCTTCTCCAGGACAATTTCTTTGATATTTCCTCATAGAACAGATTTATGAAGTGTTCATCATCCTAGTTCCCTGTTCTCAACTGATACATTTCTAAGTCCTTTTAAGTGTATGACAATGAATTAAACACAGTGCTGTTTGATCGACCACTGAGAGATAAGATGAAACTAGCATGGCTCCTAGTTTATCCTACTTGTGATATAGCTTAGATTCCTTTTGCAGTTGTTGCCATCTTTCCTTTGGGTCCGTTTATTGCTTTTAGGTTAATTTTTTATGCCTCCCTAGATGTTTACCTTGTATTCTTACACCCATTTATTTCAGAATGGTTTTTCCCCCTTTGAGCAAAATACCAACCAGCTACAGCTATAATAGTATCATTTAAGGCACAGGATCCCAAACTTCTTTGGCCTACATTTAACTTCTTTAGTCTTATCAGAAAAGAAAACAAAACAAAGCCAGCACCTCCCTGGCAGTTAAAACCTTTTGTGTGAAGTGCATGTTCCAGGATAAATGGAGGCATCTGTTTCTGCAGACACCTCCGCTCTCCCCACAGGTACGTGACACAGTCCCCCAGGAGGGGGTACTTTGTAAATGCTACTTAGGGGGTCCTTTTCATCAGGTGGACTATTAGGAGCCTGATTCCAATAGAAAGATTAAGCATTAAAATTTACCTTTTCATTTATTAATTAATTTAGCTTCATACGCATACACACACTGTTGAAGGCAAACAAGTGGAGCAAGTTACCGAGAATTGCTCAGGATCATACCATATTAGAATAAACCCAGTAAATCAGTAGTCTTCAGTGGCTAATGACAGGGCTTCAGTCACTGGGGAAGGAGAGTTTGATTTGACAAATGGCTAGTAAACTATTTAAACCAATGCCTTACGTGGCACTATTATTGTGATCAATGGTAATTTTATGAAAATAAACCTTAAAAACTGTTAAAAATGAGTTGGTCCTTGTCATTAACAGTTTAGCCTCCATCACTCTGAATAGAGAGCGTGGTCTATTGACTTTATAACAATCCTGTCCTTGTTTTTCCCATGCATTATTCAGAAATTTAAACTATTATCCTCAAGTAACCTTTTGGAATAGTTTGGAAGTTGTATATGCTATTTATCTCTCAGCATGAAATTCATGAAAAATTTAATGTGTTCATTTTACAGAAATTTTTAAAAAATGAAAATGGTTCTGTGTATTAAATGCTTCTGAATTAAGAGCTATAAAAAGAAAATGTATAGTTTGTTACCACCAGAATCAATTGCCCTAATAACAAATTTCATATAGAAATGGTAATAGCACAGAATTTGCTTTATAAAATTATGGTGATTGAATATTTCATGAGTGATATTGAACACTGATATCAGTATATGACCAAGTATGAACATAATATAATCCATAGTTAACTTTTATATAGTATTTGTTCAATTATTTACACATACATTATTCTGTTAAGCTATATTTTATGTTCACACATACACAAAAGTTAGTAGAGGAGATGGGTTTTACCCTGAACTTACACTTTAATAATGAGCTTTGGGGGTGATTGAAGGGCTTGTCTCTATGACCTATTAATAGTTGGTAGAGTCCAAAATTTGATCAAAGCATTGTGAGGGGAAACAGTATCTTTAACAAGTGCTCTTAAAGAGAAAACATCCGGGGTATCTATGCGATAGACAGCGAGTGAGCTGGCTGATATACATTATTTGAGTTTCTATGTCAAAAGTCTGTCTTACTTGCTCCCTTCCTTCAGCAGGGCAACCGCGAAACGGATTCGATTCCTGAGGAAGATCAGCATGATGGTGATAAATCCTTCAACGATGCAGAGGATTATCACTGTAAACAAACATACAAAGGAACAACAAAATCCGGTTTATGCTACAAATCAATCCCCAAGGGAAACTTTCTTAGTAAAAGTTAAAGGTAATAGTTGTCATTAGCTCTTCATTTCTGACCTTTTCATAATTTGCAAAGTGCTGCTGCCTTTCTGAAAATGCCATTCTTGGAAATTTGCATTTAAAATCTCCATGAAATGCCAAGAAATATATATGAAAACCTTTAACTACAGTTTGAGTTAGTGACTTGAACAGCGTTCATCTCCTCCATGGGAAGAGTGTGAGATTTCTTTTAAGGAATAACTCACATGATGGTGGGCTGGCAAGTAAAAATAAATAAATAAGGAGGCTGGAAATGCTGGTAGGCTATTTATGTTACAGTGTGGAAGCAGAATTCTTTCTGCCCAGGACACTTCGGGTTTTACTCTTAAGCCCTTTAACTGACTGGATGAGACCATTTATATTATTTTTAAAAAACTTTTTTTTAAGCTTTTTTTATTAAGCTTTTAATTGTTCAGTGGCATTAGTTACACTTATCACAGTGTCAACTTTTCCTCTAATTGTGTTGTTTGTTCTATTTTCAGTACTCTCATTTCCCCTATCACCACTTGTCTGTCAGTTTGATTTAATGTGGTTGCATTATGACTGACAGATATAGTCCCTAACAATCACAGAGGTGGCTCATGTGTTGCTGTGATGCTGGAAGTTATGTAAGTGGTGTTTCAAATGCCACCAGAGTCACTAAAATTAAGCAGGTTTCAGCAAAGCTTCCAGACTAAGAACAGACAACAACGAAGGACTAGGTTATCCAATTCAGAGGGATTAGCCATTGAAAACCTCATGCATAACATCGAAACATTGTCAGAAATTGAAGGTTAACTGAATAGAAGCAAAACATTGTCAGAGATAGTGCCAGAAGATGAGCCCCTCAGGTCAGAAGGCACTCAGAATATGACTGAGGAAGAGCTGCTTTTTCAAAGCCGAGTCGACCATAACAATGTGGGTGGAGCACAGTCTTTAGGAGTAAAGCCTTCAGAATCTTCATTTGCTGATGGGACTCGCCATGAAAAAAAAAAACCTGGTGAAAAAAATCTACTAATAATTGGAACTTGAGAGTAGAAAATACTAATCTAGGAAAATTGGAGTCATCAGAAATTAAATGCAACACATAAAGAGATATATGCTAGGCATTAGCTGAAATGGACTGGTATTGACCATTTTGAATCAGAAAATCATATGGTTTACTATGCTGGGAATGATATAATCAACAGGAATGACATTGTATTTATTGTCAAAAAGGACATTTCAAGGTTGATCTTGAAGTACAAAGCTGTCTGTGATAGGATAATATCTATCCCCATACAAGGAAATCCAACCAATACAACTATTATTCAAGTTTTTGAACCAACCACAAAAGCTAATGATAAAGAAACTGAAGAATTCTACCAGTCTTCAGTAAAAAATCGGTCAAATATGCAATCAAGATTCATTGATAATTAGTGGTGATTGGAATGTAAAAGTTGGAAACAAAGAGGAAGGAAGAATAGTTGGATAATGTGGACTTGGTGACAGAAATGAAGATGGAGATTGCATGATAGAATTTTGCAAAACCAATTAAAAACACCGTTTTTAATAACACAAAAGGCAACTATACACATGGACTTCTCCAGAGGGACTACACAGAAGTCAAATTGATTACATCTGTGGGAAGAGATGCTGGAGAAGTTCAATATGAGCAGCTAAAGCCAGGCAGGGGTTGACTTTGGAACAGACCACCAATTGCTCATATGTAAGTTCAGGTTGAAGCTGAAAAAAAAATGTCAAAAGTCCATGAGAGCCAAAATATGACCTTAAGTATATTCTACTTGAATTTGGAGAACTTTTCAAGCACAGATTTGCTACCTTGAACACTAAAAATGAACTATGGGACGACATAAGAACATCATTCATGAAGAAAGCAAAAGGTCATTAAAAAGATAGAAAAGATAATAGATGTCAGAAAAGACTCTGAACTTGTTCTTAACTATAGAGTTTCTAGGGACATGGAAAAATGATGAAGTAAAAAGTGGACCAGAAAATTTCAAAGGGCAGCTTGAGAAGACAAAGCCAAATATTGTAATGGAATATGTAAAAACCTAGAATTAGAGAATCAAAATGGAAGAATCCACTCAGCATATCTTAAACAAAAAAAAACAACCTAAGAAAAAATTCAAGCCTTGAGTTATAATATTGAAAGATTCTAGGGGAAAAATACTGAATGATGCAGGAAGCATCAAAAAAAGATGGAAAGAATACACAGTCTCTGTACCAAAAATAACTAGTCAACATTCCATCATTTCATAAAGTAGCAGATAAGCAAGAATCAGTCTTGATGAAGGATGAAGTTCAAGCTGCACTGAAAGCATTTGCTATAATCAAGGCTCCAGAAATTGATGGAATACCAATTTAAATGTTTCAACAAGCTGATGAAATACTGGAAATGTTTATGCTAAGAAATTTGAAAGACAGCTATTTGATCAAATTGACTGGAAGAGATCTATATTTATATCTATTGCAAAAAAAGATAACCAAACCGAATGCTGAAATTACAGAACAATATCATTAATACCACATGCAATAAAATTTTTGCTGAAAGTTGTCCAACAATTTTGTAACAGTACACTGACAGTGAGCTGCCAGAGGTTCAGACCATACTCAAAAGAGGATGTGGAACAAGGGATATCATTGCTGATGGTTTTTGGCTGAAAGGAGAGAATATCAGAAAGAGGTATACTTGTATTTTATTGACTATGCAATGACATTCAACTGTGTGGATTATAGCAAACTATGGATAACCTTGAGAAGAATGGGTATTCCATAACACTTCATGTGCTCATGTAGAACTTGTACATGAAGTAAGAGACAGTTGTTCAAACAGAACAAGGGGATAGAGATGGTCTAATATCAATGAAGTTGTGCCTCAGGGTTGCATCTTCTCATCCTACTTATTCAATCTGTATGTTGAGCTAATAATGATAGAAGCTGGATTATTGAAATAGAATGTCGCATCAAGATTGGAGGAAGGCTTATTAACAACTTATGATATACAGATGATATAACCTTGCTTGCTGGAAGTGAGGATGACTTGAAGCACTTGCTGATGAAGATCAATGATTGCAACCTTTAGTGTGGATTACAACTCAATGTAAAGAAAACAAAATCCCACAACTGGACCAATAGGTAACATCAAGCTAAAGCTAGAAAAGATTGAAGTTGTCATTGATCCAGTCAATGCTCACGGAAATAGCCGTTGAATTAGGTAAATCTACCGCAGAAGGACCTCGTTAAAGTGTTGAAGAGCTAGGACCTGACTTTAAGGAGTAAGGCGCAGCTGACCCAGGGCATGGTATTTTCCACTGTCTCATGACATGTGAAAGTTGGACACCGAATATGAGAGAACTGATGCATTCGAATTGCGGTGTTGGAATATTGAAAATACTATTGACTGCTAAAATGACACGCCAATCTGTACTGGAAGAAGTAAGGCCAGAGTGCTTCGGAGAGGCAAGGATGGTCAGACTTCTTCATCTTACATACTTTCGGCATATTATAAGGAGAGACCAGTCCATGGAGAAGGACATCCTGCTTGGGAAAGTGGAGAGGCAGTAAATGATAGGAAGGCCCTTACTGAGATGGATTGACACCATGGCTGCAACACTGAGCTCGGGGAGTGTTTTGTTGTCTTGTTCATAGGATCATTATGGGTTGTAGCAGGCTCAAATTCATTATTATAACCTAACAACAACATAGAATTGAAAATACGATTGAGGAAAGGAAAAGTATACATGTATAGTTCATATTTTTAGACTAAAATGCATTCAAAGCTCATTCACAAAGATAGAGCTATGCCTTCCAGACTAAGACGTGTCATAAAAAAGAAAAGTAAGTGTGAACATTGCAAATATATGGTGCCCTTGAGTTTCCATTTATTGGGCACCTCCAAAGCAAGATAAGTGAATCAAGTGCAATGATTTCCAAATCCATAATGTTGGGATAATAGCTTCTTCTCACTCTAGGGCATTTAGGCCTTAAATCCAAGGAGGTATTTCAACTCTTTTTATCTACTTACAGGTGTGATTAAGGTAAAATCCAGTTTGCTTACTGGGATTTCCAAGAAACACACCAATCTGTGTGACTCAAGGATTGAAAATAATACAACCCAAGATTGGAGAAAGGAATTGTAAAAGAGCTTAAGTTCTGGGCACCCTGTTTGCAGAAGGCTATGAATGATGGTGAAAACCCAAAATCCATTTGCAGGATCTGCATGTGTAATAAGCCTCAGGTTAATCTCCTCTGGCCATTGATCAGGCAAGTGAATAGCCCTGCTAGCAAGCAGATGGAGTGCATGGGAAAGCGGACTGATGAAGATGAAGTTAGGTTAAAATTGAAGATCTTGTAATTTGTTTTTCCTTTTGACACATTTTAAGTTTGTTCTAGTTTTAATTATTTTCTACTTTCTGTTTGATTGAGGCTTTTCTGTTTTATTTCCTTATTTTATTTTTTCATATATTTTTCTTTATCTGAAATCCAGGATATGTAAACCTATTAAGACAGTAATATATGGTTCCTTCAGATTATGACAGGGGAGGTTGGGAGAAATGGAGAGCTAACAATGATTACAGGAAAGAGGAAAATATTCTAAAATTGATTGTGGTGATGGTTGTAGAACCCAATTTTAATATGTTTGAACTATTTAGTTGTATGATATGTGAATTATATGTCAATCAAACTTTCAAAAGTAAAAAGTAAATTCAGAAAAGTGTATTTAAACAATTAGTCCAATAGACTAAGGAACTACGTAAACATCGGTCTCCACAACCAAGAGACCAAGAAAATTAGATGGTGTCCAACTGTCACTCCAATTGTGCTAAAAAGATCACAGTAGAAGGTCATAAATCGAGTGAGAGAAGAATGTGAAACAAATGAATACTTATAAAAAGACTAGGCTTATTACCGAAGCCTAGATTATTACATAATCTAATTATGTAATCAGTTAGAGACTGGTGGAACTCCCCAGAGTCCTTTAGTCTAGAAGCAAATTCACACCAACAGCTCAATTTTTATCCATACAAAAAATAAGTGTCAGGGGGAAGTAGGCACACCTTAGATACTCTACCACTTGAAATCAAAAGAGGAGTAGTTCCCCAAGACAAAGTTCAGAAAAGTTGGAGAAGGAGGATAAATGGAAACAGGAAACATAATGAGGAAGATCAGAGTACTTCATCACCCCTGAATTAAAACAAAATGTATAGAAAATATTGGATTAAAATTTCAATTAAAAATCTGCTCTGTAATTCTTCACCCACTTCACAATAAAAATTTAAAAAAATAATGTAAGTTTTAGTGGCTTCCTAATTAGTTCCAATTCCTATAATAAAAAATAATTTAAAAGTCTTGTTATGAAACAAGTTTTTGCTTCTATTTCATTTTCCATTTAAAAAACAAATTTGAAAAAGAAGTGTATATTTCCTTTTAAGAATCTTTCCTATATATTGGGCTTATGGTTATAATCATTCACAAACAAACATTTTAAATCGAAGACACATATTTGGAGATTATTTCAAAATAATATTTTCATAGATTATGTAATAATTCCCCTCAGTGACTTTTTTATTTCTGATACCTAGTAGGGACTATAGCCACATTTAGCTTTAATGACAGCAATGATAAAGGCATTAATCAGATTATACCAACTTTCCTTTAAACATACACACAGCATTCTTATTACTATAGTTTCAACATTGTCAGTTTTTAAAAGCCACTCACTAAATGCGAACCATGTTTGTTTCAACTCAAAGTAGATGCTGAGATCAGTCTGAATCCCGATGTCATATATAGTTAATTCCGAAGTTGGTTTTCCTTGAAGTTTTTTGTACTCTCGGTAGCAATGCCATATTCCTTGAAAAAGAAAGATGATTAAATTTATGCAAAATGATATTTTCTGAAAAAAAGTGATGCACCTGTAACACTCATCTTCATAAAATTGGTCAGTATGGTCTTTTTTTATACAAGCAGGATTCATATTTACATAATAACTATTTTATTTGGACCCGATACTCTAAGTGTGTTATTGTGCTTAATGTAAATGTGTTCAGCATGTATCTAGATGACTGTGGTAACAGCTGCCTTTGCATGTCCTTTTAATTAGAAACAACCTTAATGTTAACCAAAACAAACAAACAAAACAAAACAAAACCTGAACTCACCACCATCAAGTTGATGCTGACTCCTGGCAACAATACAGGGCAGAACTGCCCCTGAGAGTTTCCGACACTGGACCTCTCTTTACAGGAATAGAAAGCCTCCTCTCCCGAAGTGTGGTTGGTGGTTTTGAACTGCTGACCTTGCAGTTAACAGCCCAATACGTAACCATAAGTACTGGTTAAATAAGTTATTGTCTATAAATAATTTGTAAACTAGAACACCATATTCCCATAAAAGAGAAAGAAATTTAGTGATAATGAGAGATCAATATTTTTAATTGAAAAAGTAAGGTACAAAATATTATGAAAAGTGTGCTACGATGTGTATAAGAGTACGTTAAAGGAACATGTGCGTGTATTTGTTTGAGTACACATAAGCTATTCTGGAAGAATACACAAGAAACATTTAATTTTTACTTTCAGTAGAGTTGGTGTTCCAGAACAAAAGGATAAGAAGAAAATTTTCATTGTATAAAGTTTGTATATTTTGAAATTCGAATCACAGGAGTATATAACTTGTTTAAAATGAATTTACATGATCTGTTCAGTTAAAAAAAAAGTCCTTTTGCAAAACTTCCAATGGTAAAACTCAAGTCTTTTTGTCAGGTTACCTAAAAGTACTTTCTTATTAATGATTGTGCCCAGGCAAAGCACATAGAGACTTGCTGTATGTTCCAGGAGACTCTTTACTTCAGACTTTATCACGACTTTTCAGGGCATAGGATGGAGTGAGAAAAGACGGCGTTAAGAGATCGACTTACCTTCCTGACTGGTGGGTTTGGATTAGGTGTGTGAGAGAGTCCCAGAAATAACTAAGACAACTGCTTTTAAAATCCCTAACTGCAAACCAACAGAGGTTGTGGAGATATAAGGTGGGAAGGTGAGGAAAAGATTTGAAAGGACATTTGTTTCATTTAGCTTAGGTATGTAAGAGAAATCTCTTTTCAGACATGATTGAGTGCACTTCTCAAAATATTTAAAATATATTCTCTGGAATATTTGATCCATATACAATTATATGTAATTCAGGTGGAGGTTATGACACTCATTCACTATCATCAAGTCACTTCTACTCATAGTGACACTGTAGATTAGGGTAGAACTTCCCTACTGAATTTCCAAAACTATACATCTTTACAGGATGAGAAAGTCTCATCTTTCTCATGCACATCAGCTAGTGGTTTCGAACTGCTGACCTTGTGGTTAGCCAACCAGCACAAAAGCCATTACATCACCAAGACTTTTGTAGTTTAGGAAGCAGATAGTAAAATAAGGTCATGTGAATGCACCACTGATTTTGCCTCTGAGCTTTTTCCCATCATACCCCTTCCTTGCCTCTGCTAATGTACAACAATTCTGAATTTTGTATCATTTCCTTACTTTTAAGTGTTCTCATTGTTTCATAAGATTTCATTAGAAGAAAATATCTAGTTTTGCTCATTTTTGATATTCATAATAGCATGACTGCCATATACAGTCTTAAGTGTTTCACAGAAGGCTCCTTCTGTCATAGTTTTCTGCCACTTGTTTTTCTCACTCAATATTTTGTTAGAGAGCCTTCCACATTGTGACATATAGCCATCATTTACAAGAGCTCCCTGCTCTGTGACATTTCACTGCAACTTCTTGTCCCTTCTGTAGTTATAGCTTCCTACTAAACCTTTCCGCTTTCACTTAACTGAGTAAGATTGATTGTCAGAGTGCTAAGTATATGAGATGAACTATTCAGGTATGAGTACACCATCTTATACTTCCGCTTAAAATCCTTCAATAGCTTCTCATCTCAAGGCACATCTTTGTAACGGTCTATAAGGCCTCCTCACCTGTCCTATTTGACCTTCTTTCTCAACTCACTTTCTCAGATCCAGACAAAGTGGCTTCTTGCCGTTCCTTGCATGTGGCAGGCTTTCTGCCACCTCACATCTGTAATTGTCTTGTCTCAGAAAGCCATATAACTTATTTTCTTAACTACTTCAAATCTTTGCTTAAATATCACCTTCTCAGTGGAGTCATTCTTGACATCTATTGAAATTTGAAAATCCTTTGCCTTGAATATACCTGATCTCTACCCATTAATTTTTCATTTTAGTGGTTATCATCAATCGGCATGCTGTCTATTTTACTTACTTATTTTGTGTATGGCCTACCTTCCTTCCCTCAGCCCCTGCAGCATAAGCTCCATAAGAACAGTGGCTTTTCCTCTGTCCTTTTAGGGTCTTGTCCTCTCTAACCCAATGGCACCAGCTGATTTTGACTCATAGTGGCCCTGTAGCACAGAATAGGACTGAGCTATAAGGTTTCTGAGGCTGTGAATCTTTACAGGAAGAGCCAATCTCATCTTTCTGCTGTAGAGTGACTGATGTGTTTGCACCACCCGCCTTGTGATTAGTAACCCAACTTTTAACCCACTGAGCTACCATTGACTTAAAGCCTAAGTTGAGTATGTATAAAGTCAATGGATGAATACATACATTGTTTGAGTATTTTTCTACTATGAGCAATGTTGACATGAATATTCTTGTACATGTTCTAGGGCTCATCTATGCAAAAATTTCTTGAAGATATACACTTAGGAGTGGAACTACTGGATCATATAGTGGAGAATTTGAGATATTTGAAACGTACTTCTCCAAGGATGTTTTCCAGTGCACTGGCTCAAAAGCATGCATAAAAATTCTTACAGATCTGCACTTTGCCAGTGATTAGTATTAGCAAGATTTTATTTTTTGCCAGTATAAAGGCATCACCTGACATTACATTGTGGTTCTGATTTTCATTTTTCAGCTAACGGATGAGACTGGGCACCTTTTCCTGTGCATATTTGTCATTCATATTTACTTTTCTGTGAAATGTCTTTCCTGCCATTGCCTTTCTATCAGGTCCACCATGACTCAACAGTGACCCCATGTGTGCAGAGTGAAACTGTGCCATATCCTTTCCAAGGCTGTTTGTTACCTTTGGGAAGTTCTTGTGGGTGGTTTGAACTACCAACGTGGGTTATGCATTGAACTATGGTCCACATGGTCAGAAGTTGAAAACCACCAGCAGCTCCGAGGGAGAAAGCCTAGGCTTTCGACTCCTGTAAACAGTCACAGTCTCAGAAACCCCGAGGGCTGCAATGAGTCAGACTGGCAGTGAGTCTGGCGTTTGGAGAGTCAAGTTATTTACGGATTTGTGCCACCAGTGCCCTCAAATCACTAGCAGGATAATATACAACGAGAGCTTTGAATCAGGCCCACTCATCTCCATCGAGTCGATTCTGACTCACAGCAACTCTATAGGCCAGTGCAGAGCGGCCTCTACGGATTTGGGAGACTAAATCTTTATGGGAGTAGAAAGCTTCGTCTTACTCTGGGAGTGTCTGGTAATTTTGAACTGTTGACCTTGTGATTGATTAGCAGCCCAAAGTGTAACTCAAGGCCAATAAAGTAGGAATTACAGATTTTTACTTACTAGCTATGAATACTTGGCAAATTATTCAACCACTCTGTTCTTCAGCTTCCCTCACTCCTGTGCCCATCTCCACTAGCTAACTCCACTGCCTCCTTCGGATCTCTCTCCAGATGGTTTACTGGATTAATACCCGACTTTCCCACATCGTCTTCCAAGGCACGCTCCATCTTCCTTTTCCTGTTCTAATCCCCCTCCCCCCCCGTCAACTATCACCCTCTAACATATCATTTATTTAGATGATCAGCATTAAGAGAACAATTGCCTTTATCTGTATGTTTACTGTTGCACAGCAAGAATCTACATAGGAAGGTGCTTGAAACAGTAGTTGCTCAGTAGACAGCCACTGAATATATAAATGTGCGAGTAGAGAAGGGTGACGCTTTCTTTACACTTGCTGCCACAATTAGAGCTTCCTGTGTCTGTTGATTCATGCTTTTCTCAGCCAATTAACTTTTAAATACCGCTGATTAGTAGGTTAGATGTCTTAAACTAATCTTCCTCTCTTTACCACATTATCATATTTCTCTCTCCTTGTCACATTCTATTGTTTTGGATAATTATTTCAGATTAATATTTCAGTTCATTAATCCTATTGTTCTGAGTAAGTTATTTCTATTTTGAATCCCCACAATTGTATATTTTATTTTTAGTTCTGTTTAGTTTACCTCTATATATCTTTGACTCAATTTTTTATTTACAAGTATTTTAAGTATTTTATATATGATTATTTTGTGTTCTATACCTAAACTTATATTTCTGAATTTCTTCAATTTGACCTGTATAGTTTCTGTTGATTCTTATGCCTGACAATTGCTTTGCATCTTTAGTAGTCCTTGATTGTAATTTATAATTTGTTTATTTTAATCTGTAGAAACTTAATAACCTTGGTGGAGGGTGCTTCGATCCAGAAAGAGCCCTAGTGGCACTGTGAGTTATGCATTGGGCACCCTAACTAAAAGGCTAGCAGTTCAAACCCACCAGCCACTGCCTAAGAGAAAGATCAGATTGTTTGTACCTTAAATACTCAGTCTTAAAAACCCTTTATAGGGTCACTGTGAGTAAGAATCACCTTAATGGATGTGGGTTTGATCTTGGGTAGATTTACATTTATTTAGTTAGTAACCAAAATGTTACCCCACTGGGGTGACCTCAGGTATTTTCCAGGGCCTCAGGTTTACTCTAGGAGCTTCAGATCTGATCTCTCCCTCTGCTGCTGGCTCAGGTCTAAGTCTACTCATTCCACCAATGGTATGGGCAACTCTGCACTCTACATGTGTTTCCTGCTCATTCCACTTGGATATAAGATAATACACTTAACATATCTTTTCTTTTGGAGATATTTCCTTGATTTCCTGCAAACTCATCAGAGAATTACAATGCAATGCAATATTATTCTTAGTGCCACTGTGTTGTAGCAAGAAGACCCCTCAGACAATTGAGTTCCCTTCTATACATTGATGTAGAAGTCTCAGCAGTGTTTTCCAATTTGTTTTTTTTTTTCTTCTGCCTTGTTGTTGCTGTTAGGTGCCATCAAGTTGGTTCCAACTCATGTACAACAGAACAAAACACTGCCCAGTCCTGTTCCCCCTTCACAATTGTTATGATTGAGCTCGTTCTTGGGCTCAATCTTCTGCCCTAGTTTTGCCCTATGAGTTTTGTTTAAAACTCATAGACAGCTACTGTCTGCATGAGACAACTATGGGTTAGAGCGACTTGATGCTTGCAGGGGACCACACAGTCAGTAGGTGATGGATCTGGGACGGAACCTTTATTCATTCTGTAAGGTGAGGTTCCTAGCCACAGTGTTATACGGCCTCTCCTGTGTGCCTCTTAATGAGAATTGGCCCACTGCTGTACATGGGCTCCTAACAACATATACATATAACCCGGACTTTTCATGTGCGCCTTGTTCTTACCCTAATACATGGGCTGCTCTCAGCAGGAATTCACTGATTTCCTAATGCCTATGATATGCAGAAAGTCAAAGTTACCCCAAATAGTAGCAGAGATCAGTTATATGCAGCCAGTTCAGTTGCACATTTCTTCCCTCAAATGAATATTATCAAACTCACTTGCCATATTATTAGTTGCTGGGTTCACCACCTAGAGAGTGTATATAACCCCCTGAACACTGGGTTGATTCTGACTCACAGCAACCCTATCGAACAAAATATAACTAACTCCTTAGGGTTTCCAAGACAAAAAATCCTTATGGAGCGGATTAGATTCATCACAGAGGGCACTAAAATTGGTTATTTTACTTGCACTTTTAATACATTTACCATCTTTCCCCTTTTATCTTATCAAGGCTGAAGTATAACCAATTTCATATTCCTCCTGAAACATATGCTGGTGAGGTCAATGACAGACTTCTTTGTCCTTCCCTTCTGCGGACAAACAGAAGGGTGATTGAAACACATACCCAGACTCTCCAATGGCACGGAGCAAGACCTCTGCCCAAAGCAAGAACCCGAAACAAGGTTTGTAAACACAAAGCTTTCTTCTGGGGGTTCTGATGAAAGGATTGCAGTGTTTGTGCTTCACCATTAGATTGACCCATATCTGATCTGTTACCTGGCTGTATTCCAGAGCGAGGCCCGAGGTAGATTAGGAGGTGCCGCATAGCAACAACAGATATGGAGTGCCTAAGTGATTCATTAGAAACTCATTAAGGATGAATACGAGGGCAAAGATAATAACCAGGACAAATGAATTGAGTACTTCCTGCGTTCCAAACACTGACGTAAGCGGTTTATATGCAATATCCCACTTGACTGATCTCACTACTTTCTGAGCTGAGCTACCATTACTGAGCTGATGTAGCAGGTGAAGAAACAGGGCTTTACAATCACTAAGGGACTTTTCCACAGTTACCTGTTTTAAGTTATGTACCTGGGACTAGAACCCAGGGTAACCGCAGAAAGTAAACTTTCTTAAGTGCTATATTTACAGCTCCATAGGAGGAAGTCCCTAATTGGTGAAAATGGTTAACATACTTGGCTTCTAATTCAGATATTGATGGCTTAAGTCCACTCAGAGGTGCCTTGGAAGAAGGCTTGATAACCTACTTCCAAAATAATTAGCTATGAAAAACTCTACAGAGCACAGTTCAACTCTGATCTACACCGAGTGGCCATGAGTCAGTCAACACCATGACATCTAGTTCCAGGGGAGATACTTTAATTCCTTCCTTCAGTACTTACAAATATTGCTTTTGGGGGAATAGTTAATGGTCAAATTTCAATATTGAAATGAAGTAGCTCTCCATCTAATAATCACAATTCAGAAAACTTGCCCCTAGAGGGCAGTGCCTTCTTGTGGAGTACTGACCAATTATTGAAAGCTCCAACAGTGACTAGATTAAACTGCACTACCTGGATTGAAAGAGAAAAGTATTTCACATTTCTGTTACTATACAGCTGTTGCCTTGCTTATATAGAAAAATGAATGGAAATTAACAATGAGAAAAGATGTCTGGAAGATTTTTCATTCATTTAAAAGGTTTTTTTCCTTCTGAATAGCCATGAGCCGTAAAATGGAACCAACTGAACGACACCTGACAATGAGACCGGAGGCTTACAGGAGAAAGAGTGGAACATTCTTACAGGATTTTCTTTTCCAAGAAAAAGTAGTGAATAGTATAGAGACAGTATACCCAAAATTAAATGATCTCAAGCTAACATTTTTTTTGGTAAAGAATAATTAAATGAGTCAGAAGCAAATGCTTTGAGATAACTGTTACCGTGTTTCCCAAAAAGTAAGACATCCCCCAAAAATAAGACCTACTTACAGTTTTGCCTCTCGCTGAAATATAAGGCATCTCCTGAAAAGAAGACCTCCCTGAACATAAGGCCTCCCTGATAATAAGGCCCCCCGGAGCTACTGTAACTCTGGACTCTGGACCATAGAGGCGGGCGCTGCTGCACAGCTCACTGTTGGCTGCAGCGCAGTCGGAGCAGACAGGAAGTGAGAGTAAATGTACCATAGACTATGAGTAAATGTACCATAGATTGTTGTACATGGAAATAATGGTAGTAACAAGAAATTCTTGATACTGTAGGATTCAGTTTGTCTGGTTATGCTGGTTTGTGATGACAACTACTCCGGTACCGTATCCAGGTAATACATTTCCCTTTTTCTGTTGTTCAACAATAAAGGTGTACCGTGCTCTTCTTCATGGAAAAATAAGATAACCCCTGAAAATAAGACCTAGCGCATCTTTGGGAGCAAAAATTAATATAAGACATTGTCTTATTTTCGGGGAAACAGGGTAATGGAAACACAAAGTAAAAAAGACTGTTAAAATATTAGACAGTTTTAAGAGAGTTAATACCTACCGTATCCTACAATTCCGAGCACACCTAGCATGGAGATCCAGAAGAGGAGTCCAGCTGTGTACCTCAGAAGTATCAGGAACATCCAACTAAGGAGCATGGCGATAAGCAGGCCCCTGGAGGAAAAAGCCCACAAGAAAGACAGCTCAAGTGTGCTGAAGACAACACAACAAAAACATCCAGATACCGCTTTGTTTTTCTGTTCAGAATGATTCTCAAATTATTTTCACTTGACTCCAAAAAATGTCTAACTTTAAAAAGTATCAAACTTTGGTTTCTAGTACAATTTTTATGTTAAGAAATAAGACCTAGAGACTTTATACCACAGGAAGCACTGCTGTGTGCCTCACTCGCTCACTGCCATGGGCTCAATTCTGACTCATAACAACCCTATCGAAGAGAGAATCACTGTCCCTGTACATTCTGAGATGAGAGATCTTAATGGGAGCAGAGAGCCTCATCTTTCTTCTGAGGAGCAGGCGGTGGTTTAGAATGACTGACCTCGCAGTTAGCAGCCCCACGAATGATCCACTACGCTACCAGGGTGCCTTGCTCTATCTCAAGGTAAAACTAAATCTAGAATCAATTATTGTTCAAGGAAAAAAATGCAGGAGAAAAACGAGGCTCTGGGATTTCATAAAAAAAAAAAAATACAGGCTTTTTTAGGTCACTTATGGAGAGGAGGGTTTGGAGGCCTGGTAGGAGTGTGGAGTATAGACCCAAAGCCCATCTATAGGCAATTGGACATTCCCTTACAGGAGGATCACGGGGAGGAGAAGAGCCAGTCAGGGTGCAGTATAGTACCGATGAAACATACAACTTTCCTTTAGTTCTTTAATGCTTCACACACACCCCACCCCACTATCACGACTCCATTTCTATCTTACAAATCTGGGTAGACCAGAGCATGTACACTGGGACAGATAAGGGCTAGAAACACAGGGAATCCAGGACAGATAAACCCCTCAGGACCAATACTGAGCAGAGCGATACCAGGAGTGTAAGGGAAAGGTGGGAGTAGAAAGGGGGAACTGATCCCAATGATCTACATATAAACCCCTCCCTGGGGGATGGACAACAGAAAAGTGGGTGAAGGGAGACATCGGTCAGTATAAGACATGACAAAATAATAATAATTTATAAATTATCAAGGGTTCATGAGGGAGAGGGAGGGAAAAAATGAGGAGCTGATATCAAGGGCTCAAGTAGAAAGAAAATGTTTCAAAAATGATGGCAACAAATGTACAAATGTGTTTGACACAATGGATGGATGGGTGGATCGTGATAAGACAGAGAACAACAAATGGTTCAAAACCAATGGTAGGGAGAGGATGGGAGGAATGGGAGGGAGTGACCAAGGTCAAGAAAACCGCGAGGAACTACTGTACCCAGAATGAAGGCTGAACATGGTATTGGGATAGGAGGAAGCTGCAAAGAAATAGAGGAAAGAAGTAGGAGGCAAAG